ACTCTGTATAAATGTGTGAATTGATCTTAATTATATTTGGTAGGTGAGCAACGATTATGGAAACAAAGTTCACGTTCGAGAATGATTATTCTATCATGTTCTTAGTGCTGCGGGAAAACACTATAGACACGAGTAAAATCTAAATCAAATATGTCAGTTCTCAAATCGAAATGTTTTGAAAAATTGTTTCCGCCTGCAAAAGAATGCTTCAGTTTTCCATTGTAATCAGTACCGTCACGGTGGTCAATGAAAGTCAATGTCATTGTAATGTCTGGTCCTGTTCTAACAGTAAACATTACATGATTTTACTGATATCTATACTACCATTGGTAGTCCAACTTTTCGTGCAGTGTTAAGCAAAACAGAGAGTGAACCTACCAGAAGCCGAAGCCATCGCCAGAGAACCCAGCAGAAACGCGGTCAGAACAAGTTGCCTCATCTTGTCGCGTCTGGTCGCGTCTTGTCGCGTCTGGTCGACTCTCTGTCCACGACCAAGTTGACTGCCTTGAAGCTAAGTAGGTGGGGGTACGTACCGGTCAATGGAAAATACCAAGGGGTGTTCTGTAAAAGAGAAAAAAAGTCCTGGTTCATTTTGAGGTAGTAATGTGATTAACGCTTTCTGATGATAACGACGGCAAAAATGAACCAAAAACAAAACAATATGCAGCAAGTTTCAACTGTAATTTCCAACACAAGAAATTGGACTCACCCAAACCGCTTCCGTGACGTCACGCAGATAACACACGTGACTCCGTGAGCAGTGGATCATAGGTTGTAGAAAGTCTGTGGCGCCCCCGTCTCTGCTCACGGAGTCACGTGTGTTATCTGCGTGACGTCACGGAAGCGGTGGATTGTTCATTCCTTGACAAAGACTGGAGTTGTACAGTCGAAAATTTGGGTGACTCCAATTTCTTGTGTTGGAAATTACAGTTGAAACTTGCTGCATAATGACTTTTACCAACACAGATGAACTTTCAAGATAAAAACGAAACAATTTACGACACAATAATATATTTTAAAAACTTATTATGTTATGTTTAAAAGACATTCGATTAGACAAGCAACTGCGTATGAATGCTGTGCTTTTCGGTTGCTCATTGAAGAGTGCTAACTTGCTGTGATCCTCATCTCCAAACAGATTTCTTCGGGGCAGGGGACGAGCAAATTGGCTACCCGAGATACCTTTTTTTATTCATCAATACATCAAAACATAACAAGGACGGTGTGGCGCCGAATGAGCCCCGCTCTCGAACCTGCCTGATTTGTTATGTTATGCAAATGTGCGCGCATGGCAACTGGATGCATGGTTCCGACATCAGGCTTTCCAAGAAGCCATTCTACACCAAAATGTTTTGTCTTTTTCTCCATCGCCGCGGGCTGTGCAATTTGCAATTTGCAAAACAAAAGAAGACTGAAACCAAACGCTTCGACTCTAGAATCCAGCCATCAAAACAACATCGTTTTTCAAATGGCCTGAGTCAATTAGCTAATAGGGCTGTAAGGCGGCTGGAAAGAGTAGAAATCGGCCAAATAGAGAGATAACATGCCGAGGGACTTGGTTCGCTAGAGTACATTGTGCCGCACCCGAATGTACTCAACTCCCCCGGCATGTCATCTCTATATTTGGCCAATTTCTACTCTTCCAGCCGCCTCCCGAAGCCTGGTAGAGGCTACTGTAATTAAGAAACCGGTTTTGGGATGTTGTCGTAACAGGGAAGCGGAGCAGGGATCGGATTCGTACCAAGCACCATCCTGACAAACCCAAACCCAAACAGCATATGTAGTTAGTTAATCACTTCGATAGTACTTCGGAAATTCAGTCATTACATGAATGTGTTTTGAAATACAGGCACCTGTTCAAAACGTGTGTCGTCCCAGTGATACAGGCCTAGGGGGAAATACAGCTGCCTGAAGAATGTGTCATTCCAATGTTCAAGATATTATCGAAATGGCCTCGATAACACCGTTTGTAAACGCTGCAGTTTTGAAGTACCCGAAAGAAACGATAAAAGTACCCGATAAAAGTGGTTCAACCACTGGATGGCCGTTACCATGGAGATTGCATGTTGGGTAGTATACCCAGGCTGTTACGTCACACGTACCCATACGTCAAGCGTTTTCGTCACAGTACAGCTGAACACAAATTTAACACTCATGATATCTTCTCCACTTTCTATTTTTCTTTCTCTTATTCATAATCACGTATTGTGACTTGAATTGATCTTTTGTAACATTTTGTAACTCTTGTCACTACCAGGGATATAAAAGTGGATTGTGGAATATAACAAACTTTTCACAAGGGTTTGTTATGTTATGCAAATGCACGCGCATGGCAACTGGATGGGTCCGACATCAGGCTTTCCAAGAAGAGATTCTTCACCAAAAAGCTTTGTCATTTTCTCCATCGCTGCAGGCTATGTCATTTGCGAAAGAAGAATGAAACCAAAAGCTTCGACTCTAAAATGACAGAAGATGTGTTCCAGACGTTGACAGCCGCACTTGCGGTAATTTTGGTCTAGATTCAATCATCAACTGTGCTAAGAAAAAGTCTGTGATCACACCATCAAAAAAACATCTCTTTTCAACAGTGGTTTCCAAATGCCTTGATTAATTATAGGGTTGTCATTAAGCAAGTAGTTTTGAGATATTGTTGTTATAGGAAAGCGGAGCAGAGATCGGATTCGTACAAAACACCATCTTGACAAACCCAAACAGTATAGTTAGTTCATCACTTCGATGAAGCCTTGGAAATTCAGTCATTACAATGACATGTGTACAGGCATCTTTTCAAAACGTGTGTCGTCCCAGTGATACAGCCCTAGGGGGAAATACAGCTGCCTGAAGATTGTGTAGTTCCAATGTACAAGATATTCTCGAAAAGGCCTCAATAACCTCTTTTTGAACGTCCGACATCAGGCTTTCCAAGAAGAGATTCTTCACCAAAAAGCTTTGTCATTTTCTCCATCGCCGCGGGCTGTGTCATTTGCGAAAGAAGAATAAAACCAAAAGCTTCGACTCTAAAATGACAGAAGATGTGTTCCAGACGTTCACAGACGCACTTGCGGTAATTTTGGCCTAGCTTCAATCATCAACAGTGCTACTAGAAAGTCTTCTATAATCTTCAGTCTATGATCACACCATCAAAACAGCATCTGTTTCCAACAGTGGTTTTCAAATGACTTAATTGATTAGGCCTGTAATTAAGCCACATGTTTTGGGATATTGTTGTTATAGGAAAGCGGAGCAGAGATCGTATTCGTACAAAGCACCATCCTGACAAAACCAAACAGCACAATTAGTTCATCATTTCGATGATAATTTGGAAATTCAGTCATTGCAATGACATGAATGTGTTTTGAAAAACAGGAACCTGTTCAAAACGTGTGTCGTCCCAGTGATACAGGCCTAGGGGGAAATGCAGCTGCCTGAAGAGTGTGTCATTTCGATGAACAAGATATTCTCGAAAAGGCTTCGATAACACCGTTTTTAAACGTTGCAGTTTTGAAGTACCCGGCTGAATTGTGAGAATTAACGTTTTAGCTACAGATAGGCATCCCTACCAAGCACTGATTATTCTTGCAATAACGTGATTGCACGAAGATTCTCATTTCAGCTAGGTTAGTAGAATTAAAAATAGAAAAAATTACAGGTCGTGTTCTTAAGATACAATTGTATGAAAAATATTCACGTACCGTTGTTGGGTGAACTGGTCAGAAAACTGCCTCAAAGAAACGAAAAATCCCGGAGTAAAAGCGCGCTGCACACCCGTCCTCTGTACGAGTCAGCGCGCGAACTGAGAAACTGCGCCAAAAGTGGTTCAACCACTGGAGGGTCGTTACCATGGTGACTGCATGTTGGGTAGTATACGTAGGCTGTTACGTCATACGTACCTATACGTCAAGTTTTTTCGTCACAGTACAGCTGAACATAAATTTAATACTCATTAAATCTTCTCTATTTTCTTTCTCTTATTCATAATCATGTTTGGGACTTTATTAATTGATCCTTTGTAACATTTTGTAACTCAGGTCAATACCAGGGATATGAAAGTGGATTGTGGAGTGTAAGAAAAAGTTTCACATGCACTTAAAGTTCTACGGCGTGTCTGCGTGCTCCCAAATCCGATCACGGATGCCCTGCGTTTGCCCACGTTTTTGCACGTAGACAGTACGCAGAAGCAGGTGCGGCGGGTTGTGACCATCGCTTCTGCGGCGTAACTCGAGCCGCTAACCGAAAAAATCACTACAAGTCTGCGAAGGAGGCTACTCGATAATACTGTTTTGAAATCGTTGGATATTTTCCCTGCTGCAATATACAATGTACAATGAACCTGTAGATACTGAGCTATATGTCACAACCTGTAGAAAATTAGCTCTTCAGCGAGCTAAACTTTTAGTGCGGCAACCCTCTGACAAGGATTTGTTGTTGCAAATGTGCGCACAGGGACAAAAAGGCTAGCCTCTACCAGGCTTCGGGAGGCGGCTGGAAAGAGTAGAAATCGGCCAAATAGAGAGATAACATTCCGGGGGAGTTTGTCTGCTGGGAGAGAAGCGGCAAAATGTTCTCTCCCTGCAGACAAACTCCCCTGGCATGTTATCTCTCTATTTGGCCGATTTCTACTCTTTCCAGCCGCCTCCCGAAGCCTGGTAGAGGCTACAAAAAGGCAGCCGCCCTACAAGTCTGCGAAGGAGGTGTTTTGTTATGTAAATGTGCGCTCAAGGCATCTGGATGGGTCAGACTTCAGGTATGCAAGAAGACATGCTACACCGAAATGCTTTGTCTCCATCTCCGCAGGCTATTTAATTTGCACAAGAGTTTGTCATTAAGGGGGGCCTGCATGCCCTTTTCCGTAAGGCGTAATCAGGCCTTTTTTAGTCTTCGTAATCTGTAGGCAGCCTCCCCAAAAATCAACGTAATTCGTAATGGGTACATTAGCCAAAAGCGTAAAGTCGTAATCAGCTCTGAGAATTTAATGTAATTCCTACAAGGGCGTCGAAAATTTTGCGTAATTCGTAATCAATACCCCCCCCCCCATACAGACCCTTCATTAAGGCATTTTGAATGGCCTACTTTCAATAGATAAGAAACTGTACCTAGTACTAAATGGACTGATATACTAGTATTCTAATCTATGCTATTTTTAGTACCCTTATACTTATTTTTATATACTTATACTAGGTTTAAATGTGTGTCTTGTTTGCGTGCTTGTGATTGTTTTGTGTGTGGGCCACAACACCAGCCCCCGCTGCCTGTGGCCCACGAGTATTGTACTTGTTGCAATTCTAATAAATCAAATCAAATAAAATCAAGAAGACCAAAATGTTTACATTTGGCTACCAGTTTGTCTTCAAGGATATAGATGTATCTGTATCGATCTAGCCGGTATAACCGCCCTTCGGCGTAACACACCAGCTTCGCAGGCACGCGGCACGGCGGCAGCTAGCTATATCACACCAAACGACTTGTTACACTCAATCTTTTGCACATTTAATTGCAGGAGTTGTATAAGCTTTCTAGTGATGATGCCCCAACTGTGCTTGATAGCAACGAATTCCATTCTACGATAGTTCTGGGGAAATACGAGTTTTTGAATACCTCAATTCTTGGTTGATAACTCTGATATTTGAATTGTCTATGTTTAGAATCATTAATATTAGATAAAAAAATATCTGTGAAAGTGACAAAATAAACACAGACAAACAAATTCCCTTCACCAATTTTATTTTTCATTTTTTTTGGTGTTAGTAAATGTATAATTCATCCATACTGAGGTAACCGTGTCCATGAGTTAATCAATACATAATCAATTGTAACTATCAGTCGGTATTGTAGTAATTTATCTTAGGCCACACCAATTCAATTAATTGGGTCTCGGATTCACCAGATTGGTTTTTTCTGACTTAAAAAAAATCTGAATCAACTAAAATGTTCATATTTTGGCCCAAGCAGTTGATGAAAGCTCCTTGTCTTCCTAGCTGTTACAGTTTTTCCATCTATCAATACATTGGTTTGATAAAAAGTTTTAAATTCCTTACTTGAATTATAAGTCAGCCTGGTATGTTGACTTCATGGCTCCTTTTGTAGCTTTTGGGGCTATCAGAGGATGCCTAGTCTGTTTTTATTTCCTTTTTTCCCTGTGGCTTCATATTTTTTCTTAAAAATCCGAGAACCAACAAATCAAATATGGTACTATTATAAATACAATGGTGTATTATTTAAAAGAAGACACAAAATGTTTTAGTCTAATATCACCAAATGCTCATACACACAGTGTACTGTTGCAGTAATATTGTTTTAAAAGAACTGATATATCAAAATACCCTTGTTGACCCATAGGCCATATTTCGGAAATATATACCTTTTCATGATTGTACTTTTTTATAGTTTTTGTAAATATATGATATTTTAACATTTTGTATACGTGTAAATTCAACGCCATTCAGGCAACATTGTATGCCATGTTTGTCTGTTATGTTTGGTATGTTTATAAAGAATTGAATTGGAGAAGTACGCATGCTCCATTTTCCCTGATAGTGCGTCGGCAGAACGTACTGCGTAGAATTGTGTNGGCGACTTGGTCCTAAAGAAATACAAAATATTCAAGGAATGATACGTTCTATACGCCAAAAAGCAGTTACTCAAGCAACTGGATATGCTTTTGGAAATGGTCAAATCATATCGAGTTGCTTGAGTAACTGCTTTTTGGCGTATTACCTGGATGTCTAACCGTCATCGACGATACGTTCTATACCTTCAAATAGCAAAGTTATTAACTAGGAATTGAGCTGTCCCGAAACTCGTATTTTCCTAGAACTATCGTAGAGTGGAACTCGTTGCCACCAAGCACAGGTCAGATGTATTAACATACTTCGTATTATCACCCTTCACTCAACCGCGACGGGTGCCGACATCGTCTACCAGATCCCTTTGACCCAGCGTTGACGTCACACTTCAAAGAAGCCACGTGACAAGCCCCACTGGGTCAGTCTACTGAGGAAGACCAGAGTTACTGGTCGAAAGGTGAGAGAATTTCTCTGAAAGTTTTCACTTTAAACATACCTCTTATCTCTTGACCCGTCTTTGGTGCTTTTCATGATGCTTTTCCGCCTGGCGTCCTTGTCGCTTTCGTCTCTCGGCCTCAGGGATTCCTTGGAGCCGATTTTCAGCGCCGAACTCTTGCGTTTCCGAACCCAGAGAAAGCAGCAGAGGCCGAGGAGGAGTAACTGGAGAAACCCGAGCACGCTGCAGGCGACGATAACTCCGATAACTGACCAGTCCCACTGTAAGGGGGGCAAGGCGTCGCTTCCAGCTGTGCCATTGGTTGCGTTCACATGAGGGAAGAGCGACGTCATCGACGTGCCGTTCCCTAGCAACGGAGTCACCGTCGTCAGGTTGGTGTTGTTGCCAGGCAACGCAGATTGCACCGTCGTCAGGTTGGTGTTGTTTGAAAACATTGTTGGGTTGACGGTTGTTGCGTTGGTATCGTTGCTAGGCAACGAAGACGTCGTTGCAATGTCGGTGTTGTTGCCAGGGTTCATCGTTGTAGAATTGGTGACGTTGCTAGGCAACGAAATCGAACGCAGATTGGTAGTTGTGAAGTTTCCGAGTCGCTGACTCTGCGTGGCGTTGATGTTGTCCGGCCGGTTAGACGTGGCGTTGCCGTTGCCAGGCAACGTAGACGATGCGGTGACGTTGCCTGGCAACGCAGACGATGCGGTGAAGTTGCCTGGTGACGCAGGCGTTGCCGTGACGGTGCGTGTCACCTGTGCGTCGGCAGGGGGCGTGATTGTCAGGACGTACTGTAAGAGTACCATCAGGGCCAGGCATCGCCTGAAGTCACGTTCTCTAGTCGCCAGTCCATCCATTGTTGCAGGAACGTCGGAAGCAAAGACTTCTATTACTTCTTCCTGTGGAAAAAAAAAAGAAAATTAACCGCGATCATTTTCTTAGTAGAAAAGGGATGAATATGATACTCTTTGGACAGGACCACCCTCTATCGACAACAAGAAGTGCCTGTTTCGTGCACAAAACTGACAACTACTTAGAATGAGGGCTGACACGTGCATCGGAGGTATGGATCTGTGGGGGTAAAAATAGTATATCAACTATGTGGATGTCAAAAGAAGAACGTACTGGAAAACCCCCTTTCATAGCCTCCAATCCATCCTTTAGGATCTTAACGGGTGTCCTAACACATGACGTGTTTCGTATTTTGTATTTTAAAAAAATGTCGCTTTCTGCGAGACTCGGATTCCGAACGTGTCGATACACAACACATAATCTCCAAGCAGATTCGGTGGGGCAGGGGGACTTTATATTGGCCGCCTGTATCCAACTGTACCCCGCGAACGTTGGATACAGGCGGCCAATATATTCGTTTTATATTCCAACATGTAATCACAAGACGTGGTGACGGCACACTCTAAGTTTTTCAACTTATATAATGCCGCCACCAACAATACAATACTCTATTTTCAACTGAGCGAAGTGAGGAAAGTCGTGTAAAGTGCCTTTCCCATGGGCACAAGATCGGTGGCATGTCAGGGCTCGAACCCGGGACCTCTTGGTTCCGAGTCGAGCACTCTGCCGCTACGCCACACGACCCCAATATTTAGTCCCCCTGCCCCACCGAATATCTGCTTGGAGATTACCCAACACAGACAACTGTCCACTTAAGCACACCCCAGCAAAAAGTGCTTTACGCATGAACGCTTCTCATTTCACCGTCATGTCGAGAAAAATACCGCTTCTCACTAACTCATTTTTATCTAAAAAACAAACATCAACAACGATGAGCAACTGCAGAATCACTACCATCCTTTTATATTTTTGAAGAAATATTTTACACCTTTAGTAAATGCAGTATTTGTTTTTCAGAAGCAGCTCTGTTATTAACCACTTATGTGTGGTAGATAAACACACGGTGTGGCTTTTGTGGCACCCGTCTTGCCTCGGGCTACAAAACAGCTGGAAACCGGCCAATGACCCGACAAAAAGAGACAGAGACAAAGAAGATAGTCTACACGAAAAGGATATACATATACATTAGCCTGGTGTCCAGTCTTACGTAGTAGAGGTACTAGCCTCCATAGCGTGATAAAAACTGGGGGTTTGGGGGGTCTTCATGGTCTTTGGGATCTTTTATGTGCTATTTTCTGATTGCATATAGACAACATAGCCGGACTGGTTGAATTACCCCCGTTTTAGAACCGCACTAAGCGTCAGAGAAAGAAATCATTAAACAAGAGCTCTACCAAACCTAATTTTACGGCCATTTGATACAGACCTAGTTTCAAATTAAGACATAGAAAAATCTAAATCTCAAAGAAAGACTAGAATGTTTGTTTTCTCGTTTAAAAAAAGGATATCACCACTCAAATACTTAAAAAGCGCTACTTTCCAAGCAGAGGTTTGTTGGTAAGATTGTGACCTTTCTACTATTGCCCTTTTTTTCTGTCATGGTTAGCGACAAAAAACCCGTTTTTTTTCTGTCGTTGGTAACAACAGAAAAAAAGGCTCATGTTAGAAAGGTCACAATCCTATCCACCAACCTGACCCTCTTTCACAGCTTACACGATGTTTTCTGTATGGTTTGAGCAATGTAAGAATGCTTCCATTGAAAGATTTACAGATTTTACCAACTCATTGCAGAGAAAACATAAACATATCAACAGGCAGATTGCGCAATACTACTTTCCAAGCAGAGGTTGTGGGGGAGTGATCGTTACATTTTTTATATATAGCCTTTTTTTGTCCTGACCCCCACCAACCCCGTCGGTGGCCGCGGACCTTCTCTGGCTAATGGATACTGCCTGGCCAATTTGATACCGTCTTTTTGCCACCGAGAGGGATCTGCTTGGAGATTAGCGCAATACGTCCTGGCGAATATTCTGCACTGTCATGGTCATGGTAAGAAGACTACCACATGAAGCGTCTAGAAGAGAAAGAAATGATAAAGAAAACCTCACCAAAACTTAAGAAACACGTCCGTTGGGATTGTCATGTCGTCGTAAGAAACATTTCTTGAGTCACACTTCTTTTTCTGGGACAATGACGATTGGACAAAAAAGATCACCTCACAATCGTTAGCACATTCCATCTAAGAATCTCAAAAGGGGACTCTCATTTTTATGAATGTCAATATTCTACAATACGAAATGGAATTTCAAAGTTATCTTGCTATATGTGTGCTTGGAGCTATAGGAGTAGTAGACTAGACTATTTGATATCTAGTGTAATAATTATCGTTATATTTCAAAAAAGTACTTTTTTCAAATACACCCCCTCTCTCAAATATTGGTAGAGCCTCGAGGAGTGGTACTTACCATGAACTTTGACATGTCGCTGAACCGGTTGAACAACCTCCAGGTCACACCTGGGGTCAGCTGGCGGGTAGTGAGCTCTTAAGGTCTTTTGTTACTTTGTAAACATTGGGCGCAGTCGGAGGAATTCTATCTATCCCTCGTGAACATCTCAACGTCAACTCCTTAAGGATTTGGCGCAAGTGTCACACATCTTAAGTAGCTCAATTTAAGACATCAGACATGCAGGGCATTTTCTTGATATGTACCAATTTGAAATGTTAGTGTGAAGTACGTGTGATATAATTGCGACGTTCTAAATCATATACATGTACCCAGATATCAAAAAGTTGTTTAGGCTAAATTAATGATCTGTAGTTGTAGATTTGATTTAGGCCTTTACAGGAAAGGAGTAAGCCTGAAAAACGCATTTGTCGTGAGTATAATACATTATTGTTAAGTAATTATCCAACTGAATGCCCAAGAATTGAACCCAACTATAGCCAGAGTAAATTCGACTGGATACCCTCCACATGAACCATGTAAAAGCTATCATTTGGAAACAAAAGGCTAGAGCAGTCTCTTTCTGGTTTTCTAACAAATTCTTCACTTTTTTGGTCAATTTCTACCCTCTATGCAGTCCCCTAAAATCAGACACAGGCAGACAGCCATTGTTTGGACGCATGTTGTTCGCGTGCGATGGGCTGATGTCCAGTGTACTGTAACGCCCCCGGGCTAGGCTATAACAACAGAGCCAAAACACGCCCATTAAGGTATCAGGGGTGGCTAATATTTACTTTAACATTGTTTTCTCATGGAAGAAATCAGAGTTAACTTGGTTTGTATTGGATATTGGTTGCTAGTGACATAAGGTTATCAAGAATAATTTTTGGTAAAATATGCATGACGTAAACGTGTCTGGCATACAAAGCAACAACACAAAACAGGCATTCCACACAATAAAGTCACTCTCCCAGAAGAGAGGAAACCAGACAACATGCATTGAAGATGCGGATGGAAGCTTGTTATCTACAAAGCCAGACATACTAAGGCGATGGAAAACTTACTGCCAAGAACTGTACAACTACCAACTGACTGCAGAGGAAGGTGTACTGGAAGATTTAAAATCTAGAACCTACCAAACGCAAGTAGATGACGAACCAGAAGTCCTTGAGTCAGAGGTTACAGCAGCAATCAAAGCACTAAAGATGGGAAAATCACCTGGAATAGACAATGTACCAGCAGAACTACTCAAAGCAGGGGGAGAACCAGTTGTAAAACTGTATACAAGGATTTGCAACTATGTGCTTAGAACCGGTAATTGGCCAGAGGCCTGGACAACTTCCATAGTTATCCCTCTCCCAAAGAAGGGCAATCTAAGGCAATGCCAGAATTACCGCACTATAAGTCTAATTTCTCATCCAAGCAAGATCTTGCTCAAGGTCATCCTGAACCGGCTCCAACCACAGGCTGAGAAAATACTCGCTGAAGAGCAAGCCGGTTTCAGGAAAGGCAGGTCCTGCGCTGAACAGATTTTCAATCTCCGTCTGATCTGCGAAAAGTACAGAGAGCTCGGGAAACCAGTCTACCACACTTTTGTGGACTACAAGAAGTGCTTTGACAGAGTATGGCAGGACGGTCTCTGGGCAGTGATGCGCCGGTTCAACATTACCAGGGGGATTGTTAAGTGCGTTGAAGCGCTCTACAAAGCATCACAAAGCACAGTCATGACTGGGGGGGAGTTCAGTGACTGCTTCCCTACGTCAGTTGGAGTACGCCAGGGATGTCTTCTTTCTCCGACACTCTGCAATATATTCTTAGAGAACATAATGAGAGAAGCCTTAGCACCAAAAGTAGCACCCATCAAACTGGCAGGACGCACCATAACCCACCTCCAGTTTGCGGATGATGTGGATTTGCTGGATGGGTCAAGAGTGGATCAGCAATCCCAGATCAACAGCTTGGACTCCACAAGCAGGAGGTATGGTATGGAGATTAGACTGGAGAAACCAAATGCCTTGTATCTGGTCCGTCTGATACAAATGGCCAAGTCACAGTCAGAGGCACAGAACTGGAGCAGGTCAGTGAGTTTACATACCTCGGCTCTGTCCAGACAGAAGACTGCAGCTCAGACAAAGAGGTGAAAGTCAGGATTGCCAAGTCAACCCTTGCACTGTCAAAGCTAAAACACATCTGGTGCAGTCATAGCATCTCCATGCCAACAAAGATACGCCTACTACGTTGTCTTGTGCTATCTATTTTCTTGTATGGTGCTGAGACATGGACTTTGAATGCAGCTATAGTGAAGAGAATCAATGCGTTTGAGATGAACTGTTATCGCAGACTGCTACGAGTTCACTGGACATCACACACTACAAACAAAGAGGTCATGGAACGCATTTACACCTTGCAAGGCCCACTCGACAGCTTCCTGGCCACAGTTAAGAAGAAAAAGTTACAGTGGTTCGGACATGTGTCTAGGGCCAAAGGCACACTGTCACATACAGTTCTCCAGGGTAAGGTGGAAGGCGCACGGCCGCGGGGACGTCCCCGTCGGTCATGGATTACAGACTTAAAAGAGTGGACTGGTGTAACAGCCAACCAGATGGCCAGACTGGCGGAGGACCGCCAGCAGTGGAAGAACTTGGCCAAACATCATGCTGCCCCGACGGCTGACTAAGCTATGGGAGAGAGTGAGAGTGAGTGAAACGTGTTTTATTGCCCTTCTCATTAATTTTTTCGAACACAAAATGCAGTACGTTAGCTATTCCCAACAACGCAAAACTTATTTTTTTATGAATAATGATAAAAGCTACAATCGTACGTTTGCGCCGACGAAAATATTGTAATGATCTTTAGTTATACCTAAATTATTAATTTTTGATTAGGTGGTAAATCAAGCGTCCGTATCTACCGATATGCCCTTTTTACACATCAAGCTGCCCCAAGCGCTGACTAAGCTATCGAGAGAGAAAGTGAGTTTTACACAACCTAGAAGTTTATTCAGCTGACGTTTCGGTGACCGTCTGTCACCTTCCTCAGGGCAATTCTGACTGGTTCACATTGCACTGCAGCACAGGAGTCGCTGATACAAATTATTTCTTTATATTTACACTGTTAAAGAAATTTTGTCTACAAATTATGTCAATGCATTTTTAAGAGGGTGAGAAAAGCTCAATTGTACGTCTGTAGTTATGATGCACACTACAATAAAAGTTGTACTTTTAGACGAACGGTTAGAGCGTCGGGGTGTAAGCTGGTGCCCGGGTTTGGCGTGAGTTCGATCCCCGGCTAGGGACCAGGAGTGACTTTCTGTTTCTACTCGATCGCTTCTTGTGTCATCACTGTATAATAGAAAAAGGAGCAGGAATCTGGAGGGAGAAAAACCAGGCCACCCAGGGCTGCATTTTTGTCAGATTAACAAGGGTCTGCATGGGGGTAGTGATCACGAATTACGCCAAATTTTCGCCGCCGATTACGAATTACGTTAAAGTCTCAGAGCTGATGTCGACTTTACGCTTCCCGCTTATGTACTTGTAACGAATTACGTTGATTTTAAGGGAGGCTGCCTACAGATTACGAAGACTAAAAAGGCCTGATTTTACAACAAAGGACATGCAGACCCCCATAACCCCCATTTTATCAGATTAGCTTACGCCCCCTTCATGGACGAAATTGGGTCACTAAAACGGGGCAATTTCACGCATCAAAACACGGATTGTTGTCTACTTAATTAAAAATGTGTATTGTAGTTACTTAATGAACAAATTACCCCAAATAGCCCCAGGCATATCGTGGCTAATCTCCAAGCAGATCCCTCTCGGTGGCAAAAAGACAGTATCAAATTGGCCAGGCAGTATCCATTAGCCAGAGAAGGTCCGCGGCCACCGACGGTGGGGATCAGGACAAAAAAAACGGCCATATATAAAAAGGTAACGATCATTCCCCACAACCTCTGATTGGAGAGTATATCGTGGCTATTTTTGGATGCTTGGTTGATACCCAAATTACAGCCATGCCTAGTATTCCATATATAGACAAAAATAACAAATTCCCAGGGTACGGTTTCCCCTAGCCTCCTGTGCAGGCTCCGCGACTGAGGCCAGCAACAGATGAAGAACTTTATTGCACGACAATTGCACATGGTACAATGTATGGCAAACTACATAAAGAGAGTAACAAACAATAAAATAAGTGTGTTGAATAAGACCTATATGTCGAAGACTAAGCGTAATACAGGAAGTCAGCGGATACAGGGAAACCAGCTGGAGATAGGTCCGTGGTGTAACTCGCCTGTGCTTGGTAAAGGCCGGGGCCGAAAAATCACCGCCAAGCCGACCAAAGGTTTGGTACCCAGGCTAGTAGATTTCCCTACTAAGCTTCGGACATTGTTGCTGACCTCAATCGCGCATGTGATTCCATGCTAACTGTATTAGCAGTATATTGTTCATCTGGAGATTGAACCCGGAAGGTTCGGGTTCTATCACCCGGTTCAAAATCTGACGTGAACCTTAAGGTTATTTTGGATTCGGGAGGATTCTCTGAACCCAAAGATTTTCACGGAGATATTTAAAACTCGTGTAAACTGAAGTCAGAATGGCGGACGGCCTTTCACCAAATTTCAGTATACTCCAGACGACCTGCCTAGTGATTCTATTGCTGTTCCTGACATTCGGCCCGTCTGTGAGCAACGTGAACGCCCAGGACGACACAGGTACTAACA